GTAAAGAGGCTGATAAAATGTGATTAACTACTCACTTGGGGTACTTCTTCATTGTCACTGGCTCGCTCAATCACTTCGCTGTTGTGCTTCTTATCAAACTCAAATGAAGCTGCCAAAATCATGAGGCAACGCTTCAAAGGTATTGTTGAAGACTTTTGCATCAAATAGTAATACAATTCTGTGGTTCCCAACAAAACCTGATCCCCAGTGTAGCGAATACTTCTATACCACCACATTCCAACAACTGTTGGCATTGCTACCATGAATACTAAAGCATAAAGCCCAAGAACCCAGACAGAGTTTTCTTTCTCAACAATCCATGAAGGCAGTGCAATACCAAAACTGGTAGCACCTGGGCCATCAGGATTACCATACTTTTCCCAATTGCTACGAGCCTCTTCATCAGTCAGTGCCTGGTAAGCTGAAAGAAATGGGAAAAAAAAAACAGATTTTTAGTGAAAAAACAGAGGAGTGGAAAAAAATAATTGAATTTATATCCCATACCTTTGACTAGCTTCATAAATGCTTTGGCATTGCCAGTAACCTTTACATCAGGATGTAAAACCTTTGATAAATCACGGTATGCCTTTCTTATTGACGCTTGAGAGGCTCCCTACATATAAAAATAAACCATGTAGTTTCAATAATAATAAATACAGTTAGAAAAGTGAAGGTACGTAATTTAACTTACAAATGGAACTCCCAGAATTTCATAGGGATCAAAATTGGAAAATTCATAATCAAACTGTGATACTTTGTATGCTAAAAATATCAACACCACCCAACCAAATATAATTAGAATTTTTCTGTAATATAAAGAGAAAATAATTAGAATAAATGCAAAACTTCAGTATACTTTAATCTGTTACAAAACTTATCCTTCCTTGCAAAAAGGATAAACCTGAAAAAAAAATCACAAAAACTTACGTCAACCATTCCTTTGTTCCTCTCCATGGCTCTTTGGCTAGGAGAAGTCTCCTTTTCTTAACACATCCAATGCACTGACACTGATTTTGTAGCGTATGAGGGTCTGTGTGAAAAATGTCATGTATTACATTTACAAGTAGAAAACGATTGTTCAAAATCAGCATCCCTCAGCAGCCTCTAACAAAAATATTGCATCTTCCAGTGAAGAGAAATTGTACTGAAGACAGTTCAAAAAATGTTTAAAAGATAAATATTTAGTTCAAGAATTAATTTAGGTAAGCTTATGGTTGTTTATTAAAGCATGAAACAACAGTTATAGAATCACCGACCAGATTAAAAGCTACATATTAGGCATTCTAATTTTTCTTTCCTAGGAGACAATGATAAAAATAAATTGTAATAAACGGGTAAATTGAGAAAACGTGAGGGCTGACAAGCAGAAATCGTTGAGTACGCGGGTTATAACCTACTTCGTCTGCAACATTAACATACCTTCTTTGCGCTTTCTTGGCCAGCAATAGTAAGTACCGGGTACGAGCAAAAGGGCAAGAAACGACAAAACAAAATAGAAGAAAGTGCCTCCACTCTCGTCGTATTGGAATTTTTGACCTCCCATTTCGCTGTTGTCAAACGGGCCTGGCCACCGCACCGACGTGTCGGTCTACTGCTACCGTTAGCGTTACCAGCAAAATAACATTTATATTCACATTCATATTGACACTGAACGAGGCAACGAGGCTACTCTCTTGAACTCTCGAGTAAGAAATCGATTCTCAGCCTGGGAGAAGTCTGTTGCAGTCTGTTGCTGTTGGTTGCTTAGTGCTGGTGTCTGTTTAGTGTGTGCAACTGTTTGTCTGTTTAGTAACTGAAAAAATGGCTGAAAGCTTAAGAACGTCGAAAGATAACAACAATGAAAAACACAGAAAGAGACAAAAAAGCAGAGAAAAGGGTGAAATGGGTGATTCTAAATCTGTCGAAGAAGGTATAATGAAACTGAAAGTGTTTCTCATGAGCTGGAATCATAGGGATCCGTTCCATAGCCCTCGAGTGTCATGCTACTTTTGATTTTATGCACATTGAAACGTAACTCTGTCATGTATTCGAATGCAAGTCTTATATTCTATTTTGACCATTCTATTCTAAATTGATAACATTTCGTTTCGGACTGACACCATTCCTTAGGCTCTTTCAAAGTGTGTTGTGGTTTTTCTGGTGTCCCTGACCTCATTATATCTGTCAAATCAACTCCATTTTCATCGTCCTACCTGGCAGAGTTGTTGTGATCTCTTGTGTGTTCTGACTTTGCTCATCATTTTATTTTTATGTGGATTTCTTCCTGTTACAGGTGTAGAGTCTGTACCAGAATGTGCTGTTTGCTTGCAAACGTGTGTTCACCCAGCGAAACTCCCCTGCAGCCATATATTTTGCTTCCTTTGCTTGAAAGGACTAGCAACACAAAGTCGACGATGTGCAATGTGTCGCCAAGACATCCCATTAGATTATCTTGATCACCCACAATTACTTGAGGTACCAACCCAGGCTGAGAAAGAAGCATTAGAGGATGGATATCAGTGGTTCTATGAAGGACGCAGTGGTAAGATTTTTTTTCTATTTTTACTGTTTGATGAAACACATAGTTGTTGCCCAGTGAGTTATGAGCCTTTCGGTAGAAAAAGTGTTAGGTGTGTTTGTTTTTTTCTGAGTACTTATCACTTTTTCCTAACCCACTACATTTGAACAATTAGAATCATCATGGATACACTGCATAGTTTCTCTACCCATAGTATTTTCAAATTTAAATTTGTGCATCTGCAGGAGGATGGTGGCAGTATGAAGAAAGGATAAGTTCTGAGCTTGAGAATTTATTCAAGCAGGGACTTACATGCTGTGAAATTCTCATCTGTGGCTCACTCTATGTCGTGGACTTTGTTCATGGGCATCAATTCCGTAAAGACCACCAAGGCCGCAAAAGGAAAATCAAGCGGGATTTGGCCTCAGCACCTAAGAAAGGCGTTGCTGGGATCTTATGAACAATGTGCTTTAATTTAAGGCCTTGTCTTCTCCATCAGTGCTTATACACATTTAATGTACCAGTAATCCACATTATTGTGTATGCGTCCTGCTGGGGTTGGGGTGTATTGATTCTCTGAAGTGGCCACGCTTATCTCAAAGTCCATGATTTGATTTAACTTGTCCCTCTCTTTTTGCATAGGTAGCTCTTTTTTTTTCTATCCTATGCCCTGTGTGGTATGAGACTCCTGTACCCTTTCCAAAATTAGCAAAATTGTTGCTCGTATCTTGTTTTGTTGTTTTTATAGTTGGATGAAGTAAAGGACTTAATTTGAATAGTTCTTACTTTTAGTTATGTGCTTCTTCTATGCATCTGATGCCATCCTCTTGTTACATGATACTTCATTTTCATCTTCTTTTGTCTCAATGCATTGAAGTTTCTCACGAATAGAAAAATTCTTAAAAGCTCAGTTGATGTGAATTGTATGAGGGATATGTGGGTATGGCATCCTTTCTCCTGTGGTACTTTAAATTCAAAGAATATTTTATGCAATCTACTGTTCTGGAATGTAACAATGACATTCATCATTTAACAGACTGATTCTTGTTTTGTTTGCTGACACTGACTAATAAATCTCACAATTTGTCCAAGCTCCCCAATATTTTCTTACCATACTGCCTTTCTAACTTTCACACTTCTTTGTTGTGGTAACGGTTTTAACATGTTCATTATCGTTGTAGGATGGTGGCAATATGACGAACGCACAAGCCGAGAGCTTGAATTGGCATTCAAAAATGGACAAAGAACTTGCGAGCTGTTGATTGTTGGACAACTTTACATAGCTGACTTCGATGCAATGCTTCAACTTCGGCGAAATGACATGTCACGCCGTCGAAGAATTAAGCGTGATCTTGCTAGTATACCAAAGAAGGGTGTTGCTGGATTGCGTTTGGAGGGTGGAACCACTACAGACAATGCTGAAGTTGCGGCAGTTCCTTCAACTAGCCAGCTCCCTCAGAGAAGAGAATCTGATCTCACTCAGTCGCTAGAAATGTACAATGAACAAAGACAACATGCAGTAGACCTACCCAGTAGCAGTTATAGAAATGTAGAGGAATTAGATTATTCAGAGGAGGTTGATAGTGGTGAAATCCATCAAGACAGTTTAGAAGAGAGACAAATACAGGAGCAAATTGAACAAAACTCTGGTGATGATTCTGATTCTGAGCAAACTGAGTTAGCATCTCAGTTAAATGATCTTTGGCTGAACCAGTGAAGTCTACAGAGAAGAATATTTGATTTTTAGCTTGTGATAAAATTCCTGTTTCTGTTGTATTTTTACTTGTTTAATTTTGTTGATTTCCATGTACTTCTGTATTTACTAAACTATTTTTTCAGTATTGCTTGTATCTTGCTCTTATTTGAAATTGTTCATCTAGGTTGTTAGTTTTTGTGTAAGAAGTTATTGCCTTTTCTCATGGGTGTGTACATATAACTTGTTACCTAATGTTTATTTATAAAGGTATTTTCAAATGTCTTTCTATTACTGTTGTCGAATTCGAATTACTAAAATCTGTATTTCTCACATTCCTTCTCATTTTTTTTTTTTCTTGATCAGTACTATTGAGGAAGCTGAGTAAGAAAGCTTGGTGCCACAAATATTGCTTTGATCTTATTAGTTGTTATTTTCCTCTTTTATCAATCAAGTTTGTACAAAGTTATGACTTCATCAATGTTGTTAAATTTTGCCCCTTTCAGTATGAGGCAGCAGGAGGTATTCTCCTCTTTCTTTTTTAAGAAGAAAGATTAAAGCGTGATCACTTTGTCGTCATATGGCACTGAATTTCCAATTTCGTGGTTGTCTAGTTGATATCAGTTTGTTGGACTGGCCAAATTGTATGTATAGAATACTTTTTGTGGTTTCTCCATTAATGTTGACTCTTATACTTTAAGTTTGTAAACAATTGTGTTTGTTTTGAAATAATACAGAAAAAAACAACAACAACTTCTTCGCGTTTTTTCTTTCTCCCTGTCTCTTGGTAGTGTGCGGTCTATGTTCCAGCATCGGTTGAATAACATTCCGACCGCGGGGAACTTGACTGTGAATAGTCCCTTCCTGATGTACACTTATTTGCAGTCGTGTAGGGGATGTAAGCTCGTGTCAATAACAAGAAACAGGTGTTTGAGTTTGTCCACGTCCACGTGTTTTCTTTTTCTTTTCCTCCCTTGTCTCTCACGCAGATAAACTTTGCTTATCTGAATTATCTGAAAAATATAGCAACATTGGTGAGTTTTCCAGATTTGTTTATTGCCGTGGTTGTATTACTCTCGCTAAAAACTAGTGATTTTCGGAGCAGTCTGCCTTATTTTTTATTTTTTTTATTACATCAATACATGAATTATTGTGATATTAACCACACATGTAGACCTTAGTATATTGCTGTTAATAAATAATGAGGTTGAGTCTAATAATTTTCATTAATATATACCACTTATCAGTACCTTACTTGCTTCTCTTTTGAATTTTCAGGAAGAAATGGATTCTCTCAAGCAGGGATGGTTTAGTGAGCTGAACGACCTCTGGCCTGGGATGAGTTTGTCACTTGAAGTGCAAGAGGTTTTGCACAAGGAAAAGTCTCAGTACCAAGATATTATGGTGCTGCAAACGTGTGTACTACACCGTTCAAACACTTACTTTTAGCCTTGTTTTAATTCAAAGGTTCTAATCCTCTCCTCTCCCTGATTTTCAGGAAATCTCACGGAAAAGCGCTTATTCTTGATGGTATAATTCAGTGCACTGAGTCAGACGAGTTTTCTTATCAAGAGATGATTTCGTTTCTACCTCTATGCTGTCATCCATCTCCTAAAAGAGTAAAAAGATATTGTGTATCTACTGTTTCTACACTACATGATTTAATTTTCTTCTACTAATTTGTAGATTTGGAACTTTTTATAGGTACTTATTGTGGGAGGGGGAGATGGTGGAGTTGCAAGAGAAGTTGCCAAGCATCCAGGTGTTGAGAAAATTGATCAGGTAGAAATTGATGAGCGCGTGATTGAAGTATCAAAAAAATACTTACCATCTATGGCTGTTGGTTTCAATCACCCCAAGTTGTCACTTCATGTTGAAGATGGCTTCAAGTTCATGCAACAGCATGAGCAAGCTTTTGATGTTGTCATTACTGATTCATCTGACCCTGTCGGTAAGTTAACTTTCCGTAACCATAATTGTGATGCTGTACGGCTTTTCATTAAAATGATATCAATTGCACACTTTCAATGAAATTCATTGTGTTAATGTGTTTTTTCCCGTTTCCTCCCTTTCAGGACCTGCTGTCTCCCTTTTCCAAGAAAGTTACTTTAGTTTGATGAAACGAGCTTTAAAACCTGGAGGAATTGTGTGTTCTCAAGGTGGTACAATGTGGGCCAATCCTGAACACGTAGCTCAGACACTTTCCCACTGCAAGGCAACTTTCCCAACTGCTGCATATGGTTTTGCATCAGTTCCCACATACCCAACTGGACAGATAGGTTTTGTCATTGGAAGCCTAAATAAGGTATTAAGGCTTTAGTACTTTTGTAAATGTTGCATTCAAAGCATTGTAGAACTCTATAAAACCTGTTTTGTTTCCAGGAGACAAATTTTAATGAACCTGCTCGAGTATTCAGTGAAGACGAACTGGAATCAATGCAACTGCGCTATTATAATGCTGATGTGCACCGGGCTGCATTTATTTTGCCCAGATTTGCCCAGAAAATATTGATGACAGCAGCCAATATATCAGATAGAAATAACAATCCAGGAGACGTTGCTTGAAGTGTTTTAATGTTTAGGAAGTACTATCTATACCCTATAAGTCACATGCTGTATGACCTTTCACCCAGATTGTATACATTTTTTTCTTTTCTTTTTTTTTTTATTGTTGTTTTTTGGAATCTCATTTTTTTTTTGTTATAACTTTTTATGAAACAGAACATTCCTTGTTAATTGTAGCTGTGAGATAATTTATCATAAATTTTACGCTGTAATTATATAATTGTATATCATTAGGAATAAGGAAACCCGTAATTATATTATGAAATGCTTATCTTCCATCTATCAACAAATGTGATTTGTTTTTAAAATGAATTTCGTTTTTTACTAGAATTTCTATTTTGCTTTTAAATGCTTTTTGCATGATGCAGTGTTTTTATTCTTTAAGACTGAATTTGTATGGTTTCATGACATCAATTATAAGTCATATTCTCTTTTAAACTAAGTGCGATATGCATTCTGAAGCTTGGACAGCTTCAGTATGGCTTGTTATTATTCCACTGCGAAAGGAGGAAAAAAAACTCACTTTCTTGTCAATGCGATACCAACTTTATAGATTACGTCAATATTGAGGACCATTCTGACCTGTTACGTCAAATGGGTGCCAACATTGACTTTTTGTGCCAAATTTATAGCCTTTTTTCCTGTCCTGCTTGACTAATGACTTCTATTCAGAGGACGGCTGCCTCTCTGACTGTGTACCATTGATCTCCATTTCACAGAAAATAAATTTATTAACTTAAGTTTTACTTATGTTTTAAACTTGCTGTAGGATTATTTATATTAAGACACTTTGATAACAATCATGTAGAATTTTAATGTCACTGATAACATGTAATTACATTAAAAGAGCAGTCTTTCATGGTAAAATTTGGTTAATACAGAAAATGAGATTCTTAACATTCTACCTGTATGGCATTGCATAGGCATGTACTAAACCTAGCTCCAACAAAAATACTGGAAGTACGTACTAAACACAGAATTTAACGATGCTAAAAAGAGTCATATACCATACCTTACCAAATATAAGACACTTTAAAACATGCATAACACCAGACCCTTATGTTAGTATGAGATTCCTATCCTACTTATATTGAGGAGCCAAGATGGCACAGAAGCATCTCACACTTTGGAGTAGGATGAGCCATACCAACAAAAGAGACTGTTTGTATGGACAAAGGTGGGGTCTTACATTCCAATAGGTCAAATGGAAAAGGCAACAATTGGTAAATCTTAACTAAGGTTATTTCTCTAGGCGTCACAGCCAATGTCAAGGAAAATTTTAAAGGTACTTCACTGACTAGGTTCACAATTACCAGCTGTTAATTAAAAATTTGATCAAGAATACAGAAAGTTAAGTATTACCAGGTAAAAGTGAAGATGATTTAGATGATAAAACAAATGAAATAACTTAATCAACAATTAATAATTCAATACAAATTACTTGAGATTGAACAGAAGTATCTTGCCAATACTTGGGCAGCCATCAGCAGTGCTGCACTATGATTCAGCGGCAGGAATCATTGCCACCACGAGCGCCACCCTGTAGATCATTGAACAAGAACATATTTAAGAAGAGCATAGAATGACAATTTCTATATGAGAGAAAAATTTTGCAGGCAAGTGCCAACTGCACCTATTTTGCCAACAAAACATAACTACCGGTAATATGTCTTCAACAAAATATAATAATCAACAATTGCAATTTTTGAAAATAATCTTTGCAAGCATTATTTCTTTTTTAAACTTGTTTATACTTGTGATACTACAAATAAGAACTGTGTAGTTATGCAAGACAACAATAATTACAATACAACAGGAAAATGTGCTTAAAAGTTCATCCAGCAAGTACGGAGTAGCACAAAAATACATTTTCGATATAACTTGAATAATAAGACAGAACTTTGCCGCACCATCTATTTGTTACTTCTCCATGATAACTATGACACTGTAGTGCAGCTGTGTACAAATAGGACAATAAAATACTGGACAGATAGTCATATATTCTACAAGTATCTTTTAAGTAGTAATTTCAGTATTAGATTTTGAACTAATACCTTTCCCAGACAAATTGATATAGATAATCAATAATGGAAGAAACACCAAATGTTAATTTTAGAACTAGACAAAAGAAAAAGAAAATAAAAAAAGAGGACCTGGGCGCTAGAAAATAAACCTGCCTTGACTACAATTACTACTTAAATCTAAAAGTTTCTTTTAGTATCTCCACTTTTGTTGGTACATACTGAACACTAATGTAATTGATAAAGGCAGCATGTATCTTTTAAGGTGACAGATGAATATTTTGTAACTGACAACAAACACTACTACCAAAAGAGAACATAGGGAAGATCAAATCTCCTTCACAAAAAAATGTCTGTCATTCTTCAGGCAAAAAAAAAAAGAAGAAAAAAACAAAAAAGGAGGGGAGGGGGGGCCTCGACTGGAGAGTTGGCAATCACAGTCAAAAATGAAGCAGTGGCATACTAAAAAGACATGCTTCCATGACTAGCCTTGAGTCAATAAACACAAGTTGACTTTGCCTTTAGACTGAGTTTGTTCTTTAAATTAAATGATGGCACAGATAGGCTGAAAATTTATGATTAAGAGTATCAAATATTTCACATCAAGAAACGCTCAAATTAATTTTAAAAAAAAGAAGCTATTTTTGCAAGGTAAAACGCGAAAGTAAAAGCAACTGGAGAAGGTCACCTATACAATCCATCAGAAATCAATTAATGGATAAACAGCCACATCCATCAAGCAAACTTTGTCAATAATTATCAAGGCAGTGTTAAGATACTGTGCTTCAAACAAGAATTATGCTGGTTGTTGTGGCTTACCTCCAGGGTGCCATTTGCTCTCAAAGTTCTAGCTTTCAGCAAAACATTATAGCCAGTAATTTAAAAAACTTCCACTCTCACCCACACACAATCACGCCTACACACAACACACACAAACACTCGCGCGCGCGCACACACACACACAGCACACAACACACAGAGCTCACCTCTAAGTCTCGCATTCCGTCGCAATCGCACTTCTTGCACACTGCATCGCAAGGCACCGCACACAGTAGGCAGCCTCCAAACCAAGGCAGCTATTAGCTAAATCTTCATTTCTCGAAGAGCAGAGTGTACCATGAAATGTGTTAACAATAGATGTTGTCAGTGTTATGATGGGTGCTAGAAGAAAATGGAATACTAATGCTCATTTTACGACAATAGCCTTATGATAAAATTTCTCAGTTTATGGTCACCAGGATCAAGAAATAGAAATTTCAGAAACTCTTTATAACTACATATGTTAGAAATTATGATATGAGGGAATTTAGGTTTAGAGAAAATAAGTGACTTTGTTAGTAAGCACCTTGAAAAGAGAGAGTAGTGTATGTTAGTGTAGGTTTGCCTGGTTGGTATGCTGCTCACACTTGTATCAAGCTGCATTATAGGACAATGAATTTAACAATAGATGAAATAGAATGGATCAGTATTCAAAAGCTGAAAAAAGGTTTAATTTCACAACAAATTATAGCTTACTTGCTAGATTTTTAAACCAACTATAATTACTTTACTCCAATCAGGAAATTTTACGAAAACGTCCAAATAATGCAGCTTGCACTATAACTCATCCTTTCACACTCATCAACCAGTTGGATCAAAAGGAATTATTTAACTTGGTTTCACTTGCAAATTCTACTTAGCCATACATTCACAGAACACTCACTCCCACCAAACACGACCTGAAAGTTTGATAGGCCATGAAACAATTCGGAGATCATGAAATATTGACTGGATTTAGATAAGATTAAAACTATGCATTCAGAACAACTGCAAACAAGATTGGATAAAAACAAAACTTTCTGGCTGCATCTATCTCTAGAATGTGCAAATCATTCCCAAGCACCTAAGTGAAATGTTAGGTTTATTTTTTCTCTAACAAGAACGACAATTAAAAGTTGGTTTATAATTTTATTTTTAATCTTTATATGAACACACAATGAACCATCATAACAGTTTAAAATGAAAAGAAAAACACTTTTAGTCAAGTACATACTTGCTAAACATTTAACTCCTATGTCGTCATTCTTTGTACTGTCTGATGGTTTTCATTCCACACCAAAAACAAAATAATTGACACACACATCTCAAACTGTAACAGAACACTCACACCAAGCACACGGAAGAAAGAAATTCAATTCTCGCACATCTCAGGCACACTGAATTATTATGGTAGCCATAGGAACAACGAGTACTGTACAGCTTTTTTCCTCTCAAAACCCATATGGTAAGGAGGAAATAGTCAATGGATGAAAACAATTCAACATGAAAGTCTACTAACACAAAATAAATGAAAACAATGAAGAGCTCCTATGGCCACCACAATTTAATTGGTCAACAGGGCTTTCACATCTTGCACCCAATAAGTTACACTGCACTCTGAATTTCTTTCACTCCGTTTATTATAATATATAAAGAATCAAAGCTCAACAACTTACACACATTCTGAAAAAATGCCAGAGATGGCATGGGCACACAATGATTCACAGACACATCCACACAATATCTCAATATTAAGGAAATGACACATTCAATTCATTCATAGCAAAAGACTTTAAACCAGATCATATGCAATGAAAAATAAACTTTGACTGAAAACTAACAAATTTATCGCAAAAAGTGACCAAACTTGTCATTTTGCTAATTGAACAAAAATTATCTTAGAAGGGTTATGAAGCAATATGCTTTTAAAAAGCAACCAAATTTAAGAATCACACAATACTGTTGAAGGCAAAGAACGACAACACACATGACTCAGAAATAGAAGCACATTGTGCACCTCTAGTGAAGTCGCCCCACCCCACCATACACACACACATTTAACAATTAATAGCTTTGCATCTATGCCCTCCTGGCGACTTATTTGTTTGAGCCTACAGGTCAAAATATATACATAGTATATTTTTTTTGTGGTTGTAAAATTCCTCTAATAAGAGAAATTATGAAAAAAATCTACAGAAACACACCTCAACTTGTAATTTTCATGTATACCTCAGTTCTTGCTGGATACGCAGCTGCATGCACACACCTGGGCTCCACCATGGAGCCCAGGCTCGCTCTCACACGTCATACTTTAGGTAGTTTTGTTTGTTACTGTCCCTTTGAGACCATGACCCCTGAGGTTGGGGCCCATTGGACCCCTGCCCCCCGCCCCCCTGTCCCGCG